CGGCGCGGCCGCGCGGCGCCACAGCGACCCCTGGCGTGTGGAGGACCGTCCTGCTCGCTGCGTCGGGAAACCCCGGGCCCCTCTGGATAACACGGTAAATAGATTGTAAACCCCGCTCCATCACTGGGAATAGAACCCATAGATAACCCTCCCACACGCATAATGTTTAAAACTCAGTAGAATGCCTCATTGTAAAAATAAAGGTGACATAAAATAAATTATAATGAAATAATAGGTGGTCCAATAGGCAAATGTTTGGGCCTAAATACAGGAGAAGACTACTAAAGTTTTCAGAATACAGTTACTTAGAGATAGAATCGTACAGAACTAGAAATGCAGTAGTATCCATGAGTGATGTGATTTTCTGAAAGGATGTACAAGTCTTGGCAAAGCTTCAATAAAACAAAACAAAAGCATTCCCTCTATTTACATGCTAGTGGCATTCTGGAAATTTAGTGTGTACTTAAGGGCACACATTTACTCCTGTTTAGACTTTGTGTCTAGGTCTGAATAATAATAAAAAGATTGTTCATCTACATGAGGGTCTGGCAGGTCATTTGATCATCTGAAAGCCATGTCATCTTATGGGACTACATTATGTGGGACTGTTCCTATGTGCTACAAGATACATAGAATCCCTTCCTCCATAAATGCCAGGAACCACCTTCCCCATCATTCTGACAATCAAAAAGTAATTACCAGAAGGCACACAGACACTCCCCTTGAAAACCACTGATTTAAGTAAATGAATGAAGAAATGTATTTATATATTCATTCATTCAAATAAATAGTTAATTGGAATGTACTCTATGTCAATGCCAGGATATAGGTACTGGGGATACCATGGTAGACAAGACTCCTTCCCTCATGGAGCTCATATTCTAGTAAGCATATTAAATCAAGAATCATCTATGGAGTGCTCCTTCTATAGATATATTCCCTCCTCAGGAGAGTGTTCCCAGACCACCCACTGATCTAAAATAGCTTACCAGTATTGTTAATCACTATCACACCATCCTGCCTTCTTGTCTTCAAGGCTCCTGTTACCACCCCAAATTATGTTGTTCCTATATCTGTTTACCCATTTAGTGTCTGTCTTTTTCCTACTGGTATATAAACTTCATGAGAACAGGCACCTAGAACAGTGTGTAACATACCATGTGCTAAATGTTCAATAAATATTTGTTAAACAAACAAATTAATACTAGGCACAGATGAACAAAACTCATACCAGGTCCCGTCCTCCTGAAGCTTACTGTCCAGTGGGGGAGCTAGTTCACATCTCTGATTCTCAGATTTCTAATCTATAAGTATACTAACAAGCCCTATTAACATTTAATAGGGTGTTATTGTGAGAATAAGCTAATACATTGCTTGCATACATGTTAATAGATATACTATCAATCTACATTTGCCCTTAGAAGAGAGGGTAGTTCCCTAATTGAAGGCAGAGAGAACAGTATATATAAAGGCCCTGAGTGGGGAGTGAGCCTGCAAGACAGACTGTGGTGTTGTGGGAGGTAGAAGAGATGGCCTGGAAACACTTTGGATTTTATCCTGAGATCAAAGGGCAAAACTGCAGGATTTTAAGAGAAAAGTGCTTGGCTCAAATAACATTTTTTAAAAATCCTGTCTGGCTGCAGAATGGAAAAGGATTAGAGGGTAGTTGCAAGGAGACCCTTGAGGTCTAAGGCGATGGGCATGGAAGTAAAGGAAGTATCTGGACTAGAGAAATATTTAGACTGTATAATTTGTGATTAATTGTATGTGGAAGGTGAGAGAGTGAGGAGTCGAGGTTGGCTCCCAAATTTCTGGGAAATAAAAACAAATTTAGATTCCCCACATCTAAACACAAGGTTATGGCTAGGCAGGGTGGCTCACTCCTGTAATCCCAGCACTTTGTGAGACCAAGGCCGGAGGATCACTTGAGTTCAGGAATTTGAGAACAACCTAGGCAAGATAGGGAGACCTTGTCTTTGCAAAAAAAAAAAAAAATAATTAAGAAATTAGGCAGGCATAGTGGAGCACACCTGCAGTGCCAGCTACTGGAGAAGCTGAGGTGAAGGGATCACCTGAGCCCAGGAGGTTGAGACTGCAATGAGCCACCATGGTGATCGTGCCACTGCACTCCAGCCTGGGCGACAGAGTAAGATCCCACTCAGATAATTCCGGCTACTCAGAAGGCTGAGGCGGAAGGATCACTGGGGCCCAGCAGGTCAAGGCTGCAGTGGCTGGTAGCGGCCACTGTACTCCAGTCTGGGCGATAGAGTGAGATTCCAACTCAAAAAAAAAAAAAAAGATCCCACTCAGAAACAAAAAACAAAAAAACCCACAAGGTTGTCACTTAATTAGTCTTAGAGGGGAAAGATATGCAATACCACCAAAGGAGACACCCAGGTCTGCAAAATCTAAACAGGACCTCATTGTGGCAAAATGTAGGAGGGGAGAGGCTGGACAAGTTAGCCTGTCAGTGATCTGGAGGAAGACTTGTGCACATCAGTTCAAATCTACCCTTGCTGGGATGGGAAGGGGTGCAAATTTTTTTTTCCACTGTGGTGGAACCCACTCTCATTGGGTCTGTATTTGATAAATGTTATTAATATGTCAAGAGTAAGAATATATTCAGGGATGGGAAGAAGAAGAAGGAAAAACTTCAAGGTGGGGAGATGGATATAGCATATTTTCACAGCTGAGGTCTTTGCATATAGCAGAAATGTAAGAGCTCTGCCTTCTGGAGTTATTGTTCACTCAACAAATTTTATACGGCATTCCTAAGAGCCAAGGTCTCTCTGCTCTGGGTGCTGGGGACAGAACTGTGAACTAAACTTTCACAGAACAACCTGCCCTTATTGGGGAGAGAGAGGAGAAACAAGTAAATGTGTTGTTGTTGTTGTTGTTGTTGAAAAGTACTTTGAATCTAGAGACCTTCTGAAGGTAAAGCAGGGGGAAACCCAGTCCCATTCTCCCAGCAGGAGGCCAATTCTACCTACAAAAGCTCTAATTCCTACAAGCAACAATGGCTATTCCCCTGAGGAAGGAAGACTCTTCCTTGGCACAGATAGAGTCTCTGAGATCCTAGAGGATTAGTCCAGTCACCAAGACAGGCTGCACAACTTTGGACATTTCTGAGCTTCTCTGTATGATGGGCTCAATGAGTCCTTTTATGGGACCAAGTACCTTCTCATTGGAGAAAAGATGTTCTTCTCTTCCTGTCTTCCCCACATTGAAAGCTGTGAATCTGCTTGACCTCTTGCTGACCTTTACAATTAGTCAGGAAATACTAAGAATAATCCACCTGCTATGGTGTGAATGTGTCCCCCAAAGTTTGGAAACTTAATCCCCAATGCAACAGTGTTGAGGGGTGGGACCTGTAAGAGGTGATTAGGTCAAAAGAGCTCCAACCTCATGAATGGATTAATGCTGTTTTTGCAGGAGTGGGATCCTGATAAAAGAATGAGTTCAGTCATTCTAGAGTATGGCACTTCCCAGAGGTAATTGACCAATGCTATTATTTGGAGATAATGCCATAAATAGCCAACATTACACAGTGCTTTCTACATGCCAGGCACTACTCTAAGCCTATGAAATAACTGGTCAAGATCATAAAGTCAGCAAAAATAGGTGGAGACTTAAATAGTTTCTTGCTGTAATTCGCATACTGCCTAACATAATACGAATAACAATAACTAATATTTTCTTGTTTTGATTTGGCATCTCACTCTGTTGCCCAAACTGGAGTGCAGTGGCACGATCATGGCTATTGCAGTCTTGACCTGCTGATCCTTTTGCCACAGCCTTCCCAGCAACTGGTATTACAGACACATGCCATGATGCCCAGCTAGTTTTTTTTATTTATTGTAGATTCAAGGTCTCACCAATTTGCATAGGCTGATCTCGAACTTCTGGACTTAGGCAATCCTCTTGCCTCAGCCTCCCAAAGTGCTGGGATTACAGGCATGAGCCACTGTCTCTGACCAATAACTAACATTTATTGAGACTTACATGCATCATTTTACTTAATCCTCACAATAATCACAGAAATTAGATACTGTCAACACCACCTTGTAGATGAGAAAACTGAGGCTCAGGAGGTTGAGTAACTTGCTCACAGCCTGACTGCTGGTAACTGGCAGAAAACTGTGGCAGTCATGAAAGTGCACTAACTCTAAATCCTTCAAGAGAACCTGCCATGAGGAGTACACTTGACTGACAGCTATTGTCTCTTTGGATTCACCATCACATTAACACACAGTCCTCGCTTTCCCCAGGCTGCTCCAGTCAATGATGATAATGGTCTTTGCTTAGGAACTCTGCATCTATCTGGCTAAGATTTTCTCAAAACTGTGCTGCAGTCTGAAGCTCTTTTTTTTTTTTTTTTTTTTTTTTGAGTTGAAGTCTCACTCTGTCACCTAGGCTGGAGTGCAGTGGCACGCTCACAGCCACCCCAGCATCGACCTGCTGGACTTAGGCAATACTTCTGCCTCAGTCTTCCAAGTAGCCAGAACTACAGGTGCATGCTACCATGTTCAGTCAATTTTTTGATTTATTGTAGAGATGAAGTCTCATCAAGTTGCGCAGGCTGTTCTCGAACCCCTGGGCTCAGGCAATCCCCTTACCTCAGCCTCCCAAAGTGCTGGAATTACAGATTTGAGCCACTGTGCCCGGCCTTCTGAAGCTCTTCATCCCAATTCTTCCCTCCTGTGCCCTCCTTGCTCAGTTGACAAAGATTCTTTGCTTGGCCAAACTTTAGTCAGGCCTCTGAACCTTCTCTTAGACCCATCTGTGCACTTCCTTACAAAATCCTGCTTTAGCAACAGAACCCTGCTAAGTCAGTTTAGCTCAAACCCTCCATCCTCAACATCTTGTCAGGTTTCTTATCTTCTCCTGTCTCCCAGATGATGTCTGATCAC